AGTACCCGTTCGTGACGAATCACTGCTAATTACTGCCGAGATACCGCTCAACATATTATACTGGATAAAGCGTAAAGCAGTGCAAAACATAATTCTTCCTACTTACCAGGAATAACAGTGTATCTTGCTTTAAATCCACGGGCTGTTACAGAACGATCAGTAACAAAACGTACAATCAAGGTTTCGTGGTAAGAAGAAAAAATCGAATTGCTGGTGAGTGAACCACATAAACGCCCACGAAGCACTCCACTACCATGTATGACAGCATTTTGAATTTGTAAATAGTCGTAGGGACAGTTAGTCCCACTTTCTATGTCCATGTCTTGAATGACCAACTTGACGCGATTTTCTGTACTTGCCACGATTTTCCAGCTGCAATTGTGGTTGTTACCATAACTTCTCGGGTAAGAAGGACTTGTGATGATGCCTGAAGTCCCTGTCAGGATTGCCATATTTGGACACGCTGACCCTTTAAGATAAGAGAATAATAACACGTTTCGTTTTGGAAAAGGTGAAACACTCGCCACGTCAAGCTAGTGGAAAAAAGAAAGAGATTTGACTTCTCACAACAGTGATCGGGCGTTTTAATCATATAGTAGTCAATTTATCCTGGTGTTAAAGGGGGTTTGTCTCGAGGATATTGCTGTTTTTAGGAATATTACCTGCTGAAGTCATTACTTAGTGCCTATACACTTATACAAAATGCTCCATGCTTTAGAGTTATGGAGAAAGTCCCAAACAAAATTTGTAAGACAGCACTAGCCATTATTATTTTTTTGGTAATTTTTTGCATTGAAAGGGCTTGCCATTTTTTCAAGTTTTAATCATCCTTGCCATCCATATTAACAGACGACAGGAATCGGTTTTAATGCCTAAATATAGTCCTATTCTTGGAATTCAACTGGTTCGAAAACACGTTTTTTAAAAAGGTAGAAAATAGCGTGACATAGCCCCTTTAAGAGCGGATGTCTGTAAATATCGACCAGAGGTGGGAAAAATTAAATATTTGAAAAATCCCAAAAAGTTATGTAGACTTCACTAGGTATTCCATTAATGAAAATATAAATTTTAGTTTCAATGGATAAATATTTTGGCGATACGGCGAATGTCAAGTTCGGGCGATTGACGGCCTCCGCCAGACCGCTTTTTCGGGCCCCTAGACCGGGCTACGAAAAGACCACGATTTCAATCGAATTCAAATATCATTCAACCCAAATAGCTTCTTATCGTATTAAAAGGGGTTTCATACACATACTGAGTGGTCATGTTCTTGAACTGATCGCAACTGGAATATTTTATGGATTTTTAAATATTTACAAAATTTGAAGGCTTTTACGCGAGTAAAATATTGTCAGAATTCAAAGGCCTAAAATCACACGCGATACATGATTTCTAACAAAAAAAGAAATTCTGCGTTAAAAAGCAATCTCTAAGCTTTCAAAATATGCTTTCAAAACTCTTGGCAACATATGAAATGAATTTTTGGGAACGCAAAATTCACAGAGCACTTGGTAGCCTACGAAAACATCCGTTTCTTCTCGCTCTTCGCCACTGGGGACGTTTCGCGCGGAGGAACGTCTGCGACTCAGCGACAGAAATTCCATACTGATGACGTAAAATCTGTCCGGAATCCGGTCAGAAGCGCTGATTGGTCGACGCAGCAGTTACATTGTTTTAGCTATTGTTTATGAATGACAGACAAAAAACAAAAGGCCACAAAGGTCAAATGTAAACGGGAAGAATCTCTAACAAAACAGTCAATTTTTATAGACTTCTGTAGAAGAAGCATTTGAATTTTGCTGGAGCTCGTGGGCAGATCAACACAACACTTTACCAAAATCGACCACAAGACACGCAAAATTAGGCAAATTTATACTTGGAACCCCATGACTACCGGATTTATTATGTAAACATTGATTTGCGTCATCAGTATGGAATTTCTGTCGCTGAGTGGCAGACGTTCCTCCGCGCGAAACGTCCCTAGCGACGATAAAAGAGCGAGGAGAAACGGATGCTTTCGCAGGCTAAGCACTTGGGTGTAATTTGACCTTTCTGACTCGACGGTCAAGAGGTTCGGCGCGACACAAATCATTCCTCCAACAAATGTTTCAGCCAAAATACGTTTAATTTAGGCAATCTCAAGTCCTATAGTGATACATAGATGCTTCATATACATTAGGTGGAAAGTTTCCTGCCATTTTGTCAGCCTTAAAGAACTATTTCTCTGGCCTTCGGGTGCAGTAGTTGAACTCGTCTCGCTAATGTAAACGTGTGGGTCAAGTTCTTATCACGAAACAGCGAAGTTTTCAATGCAGGACTTGGGGCTAAACAAGGTGAATACTAGCCGATCTCCCCTTTGAATGTTACTTCCCTGAAGTGATCCCGCCTAATAACTATTGATGACTTTCCAAGCAAATTTGAGTGGTCCCCCCTTTTGGGTTCCCAGTTACGACTGATCCCCAGGGGATAAATAATGACCGGTCCCTTAGGGACGGACCATTAGAAAAGTTATGGTGGGGGTGGGGAATTTTCGAGCCGCAGGAATTTTTTTTTCGTTATCAAATTCCTTGTATGAATATTTTTTAGGACATGGCATGAATATTTTTTAGGTTTGATTGGCGTGCATGAATTTTTTTTCATTTAATTTTCCCTTGCGCGAATATTTTTTTTGTACTTCGCCCTCCCCCCTATAAGTTTTCTAATGGTCCGTCCCTAATGTGTTTCGCAGTGATTATGCAACACGCTAATACGGCCTATCATGATGCTTGTTTATTTTCAGCACTAGAGTAAACTTAGTAAAACAAGACGGTCCAAAAATCTATAAATATCGACGCCGCAATCACTAGTTAAGACCGTGGTAGGACGCCCTTACTTGACATGTGCTTTACACTAGCCTTATACAGCATATTGCAATACAATTGCACAACGCATTAGGATATTCCTAAACTGACAGAAACCAGGACAAACAGAGGAAAGGGGAAAAGTGTCGAACCACTACCAACAACCAAAAAGAACAATATCTGACCCTAGGTCCGGCCCGAGGCGGGGGTTGGAGGGGGAGGGGAGAGTTGAAGTTACCGAGATGATAAAGGGATTTCTTTTTTCTTTTGAAATTTCTCATCACGGGGTTTCCTTGGGGATAGGAAAATTTGGAAAATATAAATATCTATAGACATTTTTGGTAGCTTGATTTAAGTAGGAATTTCAAAGGGTATTCAAAACAATCTGACTGGTATAGTACCGCACGCGTACAATGCTGGCCGCGCAGTTTAGACTGCCAGATGAGAAAAAGTAAAATTCAGCGGATGGTATGATGAATAAACCAACCACAAACATTTACTGATCCTGACATTGATCATTCACGGAAAAATCTCAGGGCTTGGAGAAATTAGGGCTTGAAAATTTTGGGGGTTAATTTTCGGTCCTAAGATTTTTTTGGTTTCGTCGAGAAGCCGACAAGTCTGGTAAAACTGCACGGTAAAAAAAAAAAAAAAAATTCAGATTGTCGGTTCATTCAAATGCCATATCTACAACATGTAAGATAGAAATGGATTTTTTCCACAACTCAGAAAAAATCGCTGTGTCGTGTTTACGTGACACAATCAAGTCTAGAACGGCCCTTTCGCGTGGAACGTGACATGTCGAACCAGCGGGAATTTCGTTGCACTGTAGTTTGCATGTCTCAGTTTCATTGTGGGAATGAAGTCAAACAAGGACACAAGGTACAAACAAACAAATTGTAGACCTGATTATCTACTAGACAGGATAGATAGTTGGTGTAGATTTTGAAAACTTCGCTGTTTCGTGATAAGAACTTGACCCAAATGTTTACATTAGCGAGACGAGTTCAACTACTGCACCCGAAGGCCAGAGAAATAGTTCTTTAAGGCTGACAAAATGGCAGGAAACTTTCCACCTAATGTATATGAAGCATCTATGTATCACTATAGGACTTGAGATTGCCTAAATTAAACGTATTTTGGCTGAAACATTTGTTGGAGGAATGATTTGTGTCGCGCCGAACCTCTTGACCGTCGAGTCAGAAAGGTCAAATTACACCCAAGTGCTTAGCCTGCGAAAGCATCCGTTTCTCCTCGCTCTTTTATCGTCGTATATTTCATATGTTGCCCAGAGTCTTGAAAGCATATTTTGAAAGCTTAGAGATTGCTTTTTAACGTAGAATTTCCTTTTCTGTTAGAAATCATGTATCGGATGTGATTTTAGGCCTTTGAAATCTTACAAGATTTTGCTCGCGTAAAAGCTTTAAAATTTTGTAAATATTTAAAAATCCATAAAATATTCCAGTTGCGATCAATTCAAGAACATGACCACTCAGTATGTGTATTAAACCCCTTTTAATACGGTAAAAAGCTATTTGGGTTGAATGATATTTGAATTCGATTGAAATCGTGGTCTTTTCGTAGCCCGGTCTAGGGGCCCGAAAAAGCGGTCTGGCGGAGGCCATCAATCGCCCGAACTTGACATTCGCCGTATCGCCAAAATATTTATCCAATGAAACTAAAATTTATATTTTCATTACTAGAATACCTAGGGGAGTCTACTTAATTTTTGGGGGATTTTTCAAAAATTTTTATTTTTCCTGCCTGTGGTCGATATTTACAGACATCCGCTCTTAAATAACTTGGTACATACCGTAAGAAATACCTCCATGGAATTCCATCGATTTCCGTGGAAAAAATTTCCATGGCATTGCATGTGGGACAAGGACATCAATTTCAATGGAATTCAGTGGAAAAGTTCCTCGAAATTCCATGGAAACTACTTAATGTATGCATGCCAAGATGGCTGCAACGCTCGTGAGAGCTCTTGTATTTTTTATCGTTTCTATCAATGTATTAGCTTTTAAGGATCGACACAATGCTCTTAACGGAAATCTTACATGTTACTCCAACTGTTGGACTGCAAAGCCTGCGATTTCACACAGTTTTGTGCTCAACCATCTACTTAAAAGGTGTGTGGTTCGCTGGGATTCTAGAGGCTTGGTTTATTTAGCGGCACCTGAAGATTCTGTGCTGCTTAGTACGCTGCTAACTATGTCTGACATTCACGCTAATCCCGGACCCCAATATAGAAAACAAGAGAACCGGCTTGTGGATGGAGTAGACTTAACCATCGCTCATAGGGACAGCAGTAACGGCAGTAACGGCGGAGCAGATACGATCTTGTTCCGGATTCGAAACGATTTATTGTCTCTACGAAGGTTCGCGTTGAAACCTCAAGCTCCCGTGCTGAATACTCTGAAACAGCTGGGAATTTTAAGGTACAGAGGGCGAAGTAGGGTTAAAAACAGAGCAGCAGATGATTTTTTGAATCCTAACGAGAGAGCAAGGGACGGTCAAGCCATAGAGGTTGTGAAATCTCGTCGCCCGGTGAAGCCCTGTCCCGTTAGAGAACTAAACGCTAAGAGATGTCTCACTGCATTACACAGAGCGCCAGTAAAGAGGAAGAGCAGCCCTTCGCATTTTGCAGTACCTAACTGCATGTTTGTAAACATATGCAGTCTGTCGAAGACCAAAAATAGAGTACGAGCTCCTGTAGCCTTGGAGGCAGATATGCGGAACAATGATATTGGTGTGTGCGTCGTGTCCGAAACTCATTTAAAACCGGCACAACCCGATGCGGTGGTTAACATCGCCGATTATGCAGTCTTTCGCAGGGACAGGAATTGGTCAGGAAAGGATATGCGCAATAAAGGCGGTGTTGCGATTTATATCAGGAAAACTCTGACAGTGCTTGATGTTTACCGCTCAACCGATTATGAAGTCATATGCGTAACTTTGCTTCTTCCCACGGGACATCGCTTTTTAATCTGCGGTGTTTACAATCCTCCAAAGCACAGTTACGATGAAGGTGACTTAATGAACCATCTATTGTCTTTTGTGGATCAAACAATGGACTCTCATCCCGGAACTGTTGTTGTGTGCGGTGGGGATTTAAATCAACTAACTACCAAACAGTTTGAACAGTTGACTGGATGGAATGCCTTGGTAGATTTTCCCACGCGTGGGGAGTCTAGATTAGATAATTGTTTATCTAATCGTGCAGAGCTATTTGGAAGGTGTCGTCCTTTCACCATGTTAACTAAAAGCGATCATA